CAAGTAATTATAGACCTGTTAGTTTAACTTATATAGTTGGGAACATACTGGAGAGTTTAATAAAAGATCACATAGATGAGTTCTTGCTGGAAAAAAATATTTTAAGCAACAGACAGCATGGATTCATGAAAGACAGAATTTGTCAAACAAATCTGATTTATTTTTATGAGGAGGGTGAGCAAGACCTTGGACAGAGGGGTGGGGGTGGACGTGGTTATACTTGGACAGAGGGGTGGCTGTGGACGTGGTATACTTGGACAGAGGGGTGGCGGTGGACGTGGTATACTTGGACAGAGGGGTGGTGGTGGACGTGGTATACTTGGACAGAGGGGTGGCGGTGGACGTGGTATACTTGGATTTTGCAGAAGCGTTTGACATCATGACACAGTTCCCCACACACGGCTAATGTGTAAGGTAAAGTCTACAGGCTTGGAAAAATCTGTATGTAAATGGATAGAAAAATGGCTAAAAGATTGTGTTCAGAGAGTAGGGGTTAATGATTCATACTCTGAATGGTCTGGGGTCATCAGTGGTGTACCCCAAGGTTCAGTGTTGGGACCCTTACTTTTTAATATATTTATAAACGATATAGGGTTTGATATTAAAAATCCCATTTTAGTCTTTGCAGATGACACAAGCTGTGCAGTGGAATAACGTCCTTACAGGATGTCTTCAATTTACAAGCCGACCTCAATGCACTGTGTAATTGGGCAACTATGTGGCAAATGAGGTTTAATGTTGATAAATGTAAGGTTCTGCACTTGGGGGCTAAGAATATGCATGCATCATACATACTAGGGGGGGTACAAACTGGGGGAATCAATGGTGGAGAAGGATCTGGGAGTTCTGGTAGATCACAAGCTTAATAATGACATGCAATGCCAAGCTGCGGTTTCTAAAGCGAGCAAAATCCTCTCTTGTATTAAAAGAGGTATAGACTCCAGAGAGATATCATTTTACCCCGGTACAAATCATTAGTAAGACCTCATCTGGAATATGCAGTTCAGTTTTGGGCACCAATTCACAAAAAGAACATTGGGGAACTGGAGAAAGTACAGAGAAGGGCAACCAAACTGATAAGAGGCATGGAGGAGCTCAGCTATGAGGAAAGATTAGAGGAACTGAATTTATTCTCTCTTGAGAAGAGGAGATTAAGGGGGGATATGATCAACATGTATAAATACATCTGTGGTTCATATAGTGAACTCAGTGTACAGCTATTCACCCTGAGGTCATCACAGAGGACAAGGGGGCACTCTTTACATCTGGAGGAAAAGAAATTTAATCTCCAAACACGGAAAGGTTTCTTCACGGTGAGAGCTGTGAAAATGTGGAATAGACTCCCTCAAGAGTTGGTTCTGTCCAGCTCAGCGGATTGCTTCAAAAAAAGTCCTGGATTGTTTCTTAGATGCACAGAATATAACTGGATACTAACATTTATAGGTAAATTTGATCCAGGGAATATCCGATTGCCTCTCGGGGGATCAGGAAGGAATTTTTTTCCCAGCAGGAGTAAATTGGATCATGCTTTGCTGGGTTTTTTTTTTTGCCTTCCTCTGGATCAACTGTGGGTATAGGATTATAACTTTTTTTTTCTATGGTTGAACTGGATAAACTTTTGTCTTTTTTCAGCCAGACTAACTATGTAACTGTCACGTACCTGGATAGTGAGCCTGACGTGAAGAGGCAGGCTTCCCGTACAACTCCGGCTCAAGGACTGCTGATGGTGAGACAGCGGTCGCAGGGGCACGGTGGTCTATGAGTGCCTGTGATCAGTCCAGTAACAGCAGGTGAGCTGATGAGTTGCAGGCAAGGAGCAGGGTTCTGATGTAGCCGTGTGCAATGGATGGATACTCGAGCGCAGCGTGCTGAGAATGCAGGTTCAGACGAGCCGGGTTTGGTGTCGGTCAGGCAGATCAGGCTTACAGCGGCAGGAGGATGAGTAGTCGGGTCACAGGCCAGGTCAGCAACGGCAGATCAATCAGACAGGAGCAGAGGCAGAAGAATAATCCAAGACAAGCCAGAGGTCAGGGCAGGAAGCAATCAAGCAGAGATCGGGAACAGGCTGGTTCAGAATCAGGAGACAATCACTGGAATCAGGGAACACGAGCAGGGAAAGACCATACGGCAATGGGACAACTACTGCAGCCAGTTTAAATAGCCCTTTTGGCGCCAGCATTAGTGACAGGCGCGTGCCCTCATGTGCGAGTGCGCATGCATGTGCGTGCCGATGTCCAAGTACCTGCACATATGTTTGATTGGTAAGGACTCTGCGCATGCGCCTATTTGTGCACCGCGGAACTTCACCTGCACTATGGGCAGGCCTTCCCTGACAGTAACTATGTAAAAACTATTGTTGCTGGTGGGGAATCTGTTGTTGCTAGGGGGGTCTTATCTTTCCTGGGGGGTCATTTGTTGCTGGGAGGGATCTACTGTTAAGGGAGGGCTCTATTATTGCTCGCTGCTAGAGGGCTTAGAGATTTGATGTTGCTGCCAGGGGTCTATTGTTGATGGGGTATCTATTGTTGTGGGCGGTCTATTGTTGCTGGCTGCAGGTGATTGTATTTTACTGCTTTATCTTGAACAAATTCTGAATTACTTAGCACAACAATATGATACTTGGTTCTGTATTCTCTAAAAGGGGCGGCACTGAGAGGTGGGTAGGAGGTGGAACCAAGGGACAATGCTTGGAGGTGGCTAGGGGGCAGAGACAGGGGTGACTTAGAAGGGGGAGTTCCTGCACCTATTTTCTGAGATAAAAAGCCCTGATGCTGACCAATCAGAACCGCTCTGATTCGTCCTGGCATCCCTCGGGAAAATAAAGGAAGAATAGCGCATGTCTCAAACCACAGTACCCTTTTTCCCAAGTGGTAACAGAAATTGATCTCTCCAAACCTCATATTTCATGAGCAAAAACTTCATAGACAAAAGGAAAGAAGTTAGGTTTACTGTTAGAAGATTGGAAAGTACCTGCGTGCTTTCACTGGAGATCTGAGAGAAACTGAAAGCTCCAGGTGTTTGGTGTTTTTCACTACCTGGCTGATTCTTTTGTGTCTTTCCCATCAGGACATGAGCCGTAAAGATTTAAATGCAATGTAATGAAGTTTCTCTTCATTTCCCGGGCTGTCACAAATTAGCTGGAGTGACACTAAATACAGCTGAATGGCGTTATGAAGGCATGGCCAAATGAAAGCTCAATATCATTTTTTATTTGCGATCTTCTTAAGTATTTCAGTTTTTACAAAAAGTTTAGCTGCATACAGTCCTGGTTTTGAATTTTCACCAGCTGTTGCTTTTCTATATATTGTCTTCATTTACTGGGGTCTCAACTAACTTATTCTTACTGGAAATGTCAGGAATATTGCTCTGCTTTCCAATATAAAATGCACGAATGGGAAAAATACATCATTGTTGCTTGGGTTGATTGCTAACGATGCCGTATGCTGGAAGCAAGCCCTGCATCCTGCATTTGGATTGTGATGGACAACATTTTGCCATTCAGATCAGTGGAACATGTTCCTTCAGAGACACAGAGACCTAATGCAACTTTGTAAATATAAGGTTTTTACATCAGTCTTTTATTTCCCGTTGCTTTGACAGCTCCTATCACAGGTAATGTTCCATTTCAAATGCCACTTTATACACTGACATATCTCCTTAGACCCAGAATATCTGAACAATATGGTCTCTTCAATAGGACACCTACGTTGAATTCAATACAATTTTACTTCAGATAACTGCAGTGCAGAAGATGTTTTTCCAGTCTTTTGATATGTAAAAACAATAATAACTTTCCAAAGTCCTGTCTCTGCAAATTACTAACAATTACTGGAGGAACATGGAAGAAACAGGGAGCATTTAGCTAAGACTAAACTAGCTAGCGCTAAACAGAAGGAGAGGACAGAGGAAGACACCAAATACCATAAGTAGAAAAGTTGTGGTGGCCCAAAACTGCCACCAGATGTCAGCATACATAAGCAACCTGATACAGTTTAATACAACACAGAAAAAAATACTATACATATGTAGTGCTACCCTCTTGAGGGCTGCTGCATTTTTGGGTCCCCCTAAGCTCTGCACAGCCAGGCAACGCACAGTTTCCACACTTTCATCCAAAGTCAGTAAAACAGTCCTTGAACTTGTTTTTTGTTGTTTTATTCGGGGTTAACAACTTGGATGGGATCTAGGGGTATATGGGATGCCCAATGGAACTGTACAACTTTGGAGGACAACTTTTTAGCAAAAAAAGACACAAAATCAGCCCACAGGCTTTGCAAGGGTCAGCTTGTCCCCTTTGGTGAATCTCCTCAGACCCCAGATAAAACTCTCCTCATCCACCTGGCTGCCTTGGGTGTGTCCCTGATCAAGGGATTCTGAGATCTACAAATGAAGTAGTCCCAGATGAGAAGTAGTTGGGCATTGCACCTGACCACCCTCTCCCTTCTTTGGCTCAAGGGTGTAGAAGTACTTATGCTGTCCTGTTCCTGTAGCTTAATGGGTTGTAGCTGCTTTCAGGCCTTACACTGGGCTAGCTCCTTCCCTTCTGACAGGCTGTTTCTCCTAAGTGGACTGTGGGACAGTGGAGGTCCTTCTGTCCAGTTTCAGCCTGTAGGCAAACCTTCCTCATCTGGGGCCCCTTCCCAGGCTCCACGCCAGCAGCACCTTCCTCACTCCATCTTCCACCCAACTCCAACTATTGACCAGGCTCTCCCATATTTAATGGTTGTCATAGCCTCAATACCAGGCCTCCTGCCTAGGGATTGGCCAGGGTCCCTAAAATAATGCAAATCTAAGCCTCCTCTCTCCCCCTACCGCCCCTATTCTAGAAAGTGCCCAGAGTTTCTAGAAGGGTAGGAGGGCTCCAGAAGACCTGACCTGTACAGCCTCCCAGCCTAACCTAAAGTGACCTCACTAACCCACTACCAGGCTAACTCATACCCAGGCTTATATCAGACTTCTAACTAACCACAAAAATCCTACCTAAACTAGAGGGCGGTACTCATACTCTGTATTGCCAAAAGTATTGGGACACCCCTCCAAATCATTGGATTCAGGTGTTCCAATCACCTCCATGGCCACAGGTGTATAAAATCAAGCAGCTAGGCTTGCAGACTGCTTCTACAAACATTTGTGAAATAATGGATTGCTCTCAGGAGCTCAGTTTATTCAAGCGTGGTACCGTGATAGGTTGCCACCTGTGCAATAAGTCCATCCGTGACATTTCCTCGCTACTAAATATTCCACGGTCAACTGCTAGTTGTATTACAACAAAGTGGAAGCAACTGGGAACAACAGCAACTCAGCCACAAAGTGGTAGGCTATGTAAAATGACAGAGCGGGGTCAGCACATGCCGTGCTGAAGCGCACAGTGCGCAGAAGTCACCAACTGACTGCAGAGTCAATAGCTAAAGACCTTCAAACTTCATGTGGCCTTCAGATTAACACAACAACAGTGCATAGAGAGCTTCATGGGTTTCCATGGCGGAGCTGTTGCATCCAAACCTTATATCACCAAGTGCAATGCAAAGCGTAGGATGCAGAGGTGTAAAGCACGCTGCCACTAGACTCTAGAGCAGTGGAGATGAGTTCTCTGGAGTGACGGATCATACTTTTCTGTCTGGCAATCCGATAGACGTGTCTAGGTTTGGCAGTTGCCAGGAGAACGATACTTGTCCGACTTCATTGTACCAAGTATAAAGTTTGGTGGAAGGGGGATTATGGTGTGGGGTTGTTTTTCAGGGGTTGGGCTTGGCCCCTTCCAGAGAAGGGAACTCTTAAGGTGTCAGCATACTAAGATATTTTGGACAATTTCATGCTCCCAATTTTGTGGGAACAGTTTGGGGATGGCCCCTTCCTGTTCCAACATGTCTGCGCACCAGTGCACAGAGTAAGGTCCATAAAGACTTGGATGAGCGAGTTTGGGGTGGAGGAACTTGACTGGCCTGTACAGAGTCCTGACCTCAACCTGATAGAACACCTTTGAGATGAATTAGAGTGGAGACTGTGAGACAGGGCTTCTTGTCCGACATCAGTGCCTGACCTCACAAATGCGCTTCTGGAAGAATGGTCAAACATTCCCATAGACACCCTCCTAAACCTTGTGGACAGCCTTCCCAGAAGAGTTGAAGCTGTTATAGCTGCAAAGGGTGGACCAACTCAATATTGAACCCTATGTACTAAGACTGGGATACCATTAAAGTTTATGTGCGTGAGAAGCAGAGTGAGCGTGTACTATAGATAGAGAGTTGTAATTGCACAGATATGACAAGTTGTACCGGTGTTACTAGGGACTAATTCTTGAAGCCAGTTCTGTTCTCTGGTTCCAGAGCTTACCAGGGCTATAGCCACCCAAAAGTTCCATAAAGGCTAAAAAGCATAGGCATTTTGCCTAATGAAGAAACATCTGCCAACAATCTTGCTGCTGTCGGTATTGTTAGGACAAAAATTACGCCATTTCTATCACTCTTCAGAAACCTCCAAAATGCACTTTTCCACCAATTTTTTATGTCATATCAGTTTTCTAAGGGACACCACCTGCTATGACAAAGTAAACCTGTTACTAGAGGTGAAAGACTGTTGACAGGTGTAGGTTAACCTCTCTACATATCTGTCGCAACCAACCTGCAGGGTGCATGGAGGACAGGAGGAATGCATCATATGTGTCATCGGGTGGGCTGCTGTCTTGTTGGACACTGCCACCCGGATGACCCCCACAGCCATCTTTAGTGAAGGTAGTGCTTATAAAAAGCACTGGCTCACTGCAGTTGGTGTGCACTTTGCATGTGGATAGGTCAGAGACAGGAACCAAGTTGATAGGGATAATGAGCCTAGCGTAGAACGAGGTTCCAGAGGAGGAAGGAAGGCAGCATAGGAACTGTTGTCAGAGCTACTGAAGGATACCTTTCCACTACTAGTCTTTGGTGCATACTGCCTTCCTGCCGCCCCCTGCGCACGGTGCTGCCGGTCTCTGTGCATCGCTCTCTGCAAGTGCTCTATAACCTTCTGCAAATGTTGCTGCCGGTTCTAAGCCACTGCATAGACTCTGTTACTATATGTTGGAACACTTTTTACAATACAATCCCTGAAAATCCAACTCCTGTGTGTGCCGTTCCTTCCCTCTGGAGTGCCTACCACCTGCCCCCCCCCAGCCTACAAGATTGTAGATATACAATGACAACACATCTAAATAATTAAATGCTCATGCCCATGAATTCTAAACATGGATCTTCTCATCTCAGAAAGCTTTGAGGTGTGGATTAACAGCTCATTGCATCCTGGAAGGAGGGGGGGGGGGACAGTTAGATTTACCCCCTGGGAGATCCAGGTACTGTATATCTGATGGCTCTAACATATAAGCGGAATGGCAGGAGAGCTCTGGAAAAGTGAGTATCCGCAGCTGGGGGTGGTCTTTTAAGAGACCAAAGTCCCATTCTCTTCTTAAAGCCTTAGTCTCTCCTTAAATAAAATCAATAAAATAAAAGTAAGCACAAGAGACATTACTTACCTTACTGTCCCTGCAATATGTTTCTTGTGCTGCTGTGTCCTCGTTTAGTAGAAATATTCCTCCTCTGCCATACTATAGCTTCTACTGTATGATTGAAACAGGATCTATGAATGGAGTGGGGTGGACTTTTCAATCATCTGACCATCTTCCATTCATAGATCATGTTTCGTTCAAGCAAGTGCTCAAGCCCACCTGATAGTGTGATAAGATATTTATGGATTTAAGGGGTCCATATACAAAACAGTATGACCTGTTAAAGTTATGTGACCAGCCTCTCCACCAATCAAGCAGTTCTCTTTGCAGCTTTCTGAGAATTCTGATTATGATTGGGACAGTTATAAAGGTCAGGCACATGGTCTTGCCCAAAGATCTGCACATGCATATACTGCAGCCTGTCCTTCAATACTTAAGAGTCAAGACATCTGTGTGTGTGCATGAATGAGTTAACACATTGGACTTCAGCTTTGGCATCAATCACTCTATTCAAAGCTCTGCACAACCAAGTAAAGAAACTGACTGGTTGTCAACTCCTGTCACTTGTGTTTCTGCTACCTTGTCCTTGACCTGGCATGCCTCCTGACTCCAATGCACCCGTATCTCCCATTGCTGACCTTGATATGTGTCCTGATTTCACCTTATGAATGCAGTCTGGGTTCCTCTGGGTACCTCTCCCCCCTACCATGATGTGCAAGCTTAGAGGATCTTACACCCAGCAGTCTCTTGCTTGTTAAAATCACTGACGTTGTCACTACTCCTGTCAGCCTTGTAACACAAGGAAGGCGCCCCCATCCTTCCAGTAAACCTATGGCACCCAGGGCGACTACCCTTCCTGCCCACCCCTTATTCCGGTCCTAATTCCAAGCAGAAGCAATGTGCAATCATTGAGTTTTTGATGAAGGAGGGGTGCACGCTGTCCAACAGCCACAGAAAGTGACATAATGTTTAAGGTGATGACACCAGTGACAAGAATCACCAATGAGAAGCCATTGCTCTTGTCAATGGTGTCATGTTCATAAACATTATGTAGCTGTCTGTGGATGTCGGACAGCATGCACCCCTCCTTCATCAAGAACTCACTGACGGCACATTGCTTCTGCTTGGAATCCATTGTTTACCTGCAACGAAAAAGCAGAAAAAGATGCATTACTATAGAGGAACAATTACTCTACCAACATGTGAAATTTGAATGACCTATTTAAGTTAATAAAAAAGTTGTGTCCACTTTTGCATTACTTTCAGTGTATTTTGATTGGCTGTTGTGGGATGCTCCACTTCTGCCTTGTACTGTAAAAGTTTGATTTTTTTTCTTATTCTCATATAAGTTGCAGGTTGCAAATTGAAATGCAAATTGGAAAATTAAAATTCAAGGCACAATGTAGAGTTTGAAGGCAAAGTAAACACAGAGAAAAGATCCCTTTGCTTTGTTTATTAACATTTAACATAATCCGTTACCAGGCAGGCAGCGGGAAGTGTTCACTCTGTCCTAGGCTGGGGTTTGGCTTCTACTGCTTGTGTAGTCAGCTTGACTTATGTAAGGAGTTTTAATAGTTTGCCTGTAGAACTTCTTAAACTTGTAAGTCAGCCAACTGGCAATTTTAAAGTCTGCCAGTGAATCCTAAAATCCTCAGTTTGCCTCTAAAGTTTAGCCCACATAGAGCTACACCTTAATTTGTTGCATATTCCTTGGCATTGACTTATGCTGATTAATTTCAAAGTTGAAGTTTAGTTAAAAAAACATTTTTACTGTACAGCTTTAGTTACATTACCTGTAATAAAGGATGTCCCACTATGTTCAGGCTGATGGATTCTGCAAAAATCTTCATTGCAGTGCTACCCTGGCCTCTTCCTGCTCCTGAAATTCCAGTGCTGTGAGCAGGGCTGCAAATAGAAATCATGGGACCCTGTACAAACTACCTGACAGGGCCCCCAACCACTTGGGCAGTGAAGGGAGGAAGTCATCAGTGTATGGGGGCAGTGATAGGTGTACGGGGGCTGTGATCATTGTATTGTAAATAAGGCAGTGAGCAATACGTGGTTAGCAGTGAATGGATAACAGAGGGCAGTGAATGGGGGCAATAAACAGTGAATGAAGGCAGCAGAAAGTGAATGGGAGCAGTCAACAGTATACAGTGAAAGTGAGCAGTTTACAGGGACAGTGAGCACAAGGACAACCGAATTCCATCTCAGAGAACCGCAAATAATCATAGCAGGGTGGGGGTGTGAATCAATGGGGTGAGCAAATCATGAGCAGAGGGAGTGGGGAGAGGTATAATCTGAGGAATCCAAAGTCTGATGATTGATTCTGACTTATACCCAAGCCTAGCTTTCTGGGCCCCAATGCTGACCCCATGGGGTCTGGTTCCTGTACAGGAAGGCTGTCTGTAGCCCCTTATCAGTGGCCCTGGCTGTGGGGCTTAACAGCTTTGAGCCCCTGCGCTAAGATATGTCCATTCTTGTACCCACCACCATTGAGAAAAGTATCTTCACTGATTACACTGCCTGTAAAGCTATCTGTGAATTGTGGGGGGGAGAAATCCTGTGATTGATCAGACTCTTCCCCATTCACAGATTGTGTTAAAGGCAGTGCAATCACTGAACAAACTTTTCTTGATGGTGAAGAGGGCAGAAAGGAACATGTCCTTGTCAAATCATCTTTAATGCAGCTGAGTCTGCAGACCTGAAGCTGTTAGCCCCCCACAGTACTGGAAGTTCAACAACAGGAAGAGGACAGGGTAGCCCTGCAGTGAAGATTTCTACAGAATCCAGCAGCCTACACATTGTGGGGCATCCTTCATTACAGGTAAATAATGTAACTAAAGCTGTAGATAAAAAAAAAAAATGTTTTTAAACTAAACTTTAGCTTTAATTTTTTTTAGGCAAATTGTCCCTCACATTTGTTTCTCAATATTGTCCTGTTACACTAAATGTCACAACTTTGTTATTAATTTTTCCTCTGGAAATGCCTTAAAATACCCTTTC